GATCGAGACTGTCAGAGCCGGGGCTCGAACCGGCAACCTTCCGATTACAAGACGAACTGCCAACTCTTGAGCCACCTGAATAATTGTATTCAGGTGTGCTGCACATGGAAAAGTTTCTGGACACCGACCCTCGAGGACTGGAGTCTGTTACCTGTGCTCTAAAAGATCAAGATAGTGAGCACAATTCCCAAATAAATCCAAATCCAAATAAATCTGGATGACTGAGTTTAACTCATTACTCAGTTTTCTGGGAACTGTTATAAATAGTCTGGCTTCAGAGAGGGACCACCAGACCTCTGGGGAAAATTAGTTAAAAAACTGGCACTGTCACTTTTGTTTCTTAAATTTGAATTTAGTTGTGTGTTAGAAATTCTAATCTTTTGAAGCTGCACACAAGCGTGTCCTGTAACCTCAGCACTGGTAGATTTTGATCAAGTTATCCTTTCTGTGAAGGCTGAGAGCAATGCAAACAGACACACGGCGCCAGTATTCGGTCTTCAGTCCAACACATCCATCCTCGTTTCCTCCCATCCCAGGTTCAGATAGGTCATGACTGAAGAGCAGAATTCATTTCCTTTGTTAAAAAATTGTGTACTTTTCTATATTACCCCTTGAGAATTACGAGAATGTCTTTTATAGATACAAATTCCAGCCTTTACTGCAACTGCAACTGCAACTGCAACAGCAATAGCAATAGCAATAGTTATAATCACCCCGTCTCCAACATACAGGGCCACTTTCAGTCCATCAATCTTCTCGCCAGGTTTTTGGCCTGCAGACATAGGTGTATGATTGGACTTTTGTTAGACATCATCTTATAGAAAAGTGCCCTCTGCAACATCTTTATAACAAAATTTCTTATTTATCTTTATAAACTCACCAGAGTGAGCGACTTTCAGGTTGACAATGCTGACGACAAGAACTTCTCTCTTCATGCGGCTTGGTCCACTCTGAAAGGCTCTGCACTCGTATATCCCTGTGTCATTAGTTGTTACATTCTTCATAATCAAAGACCAATCTCCATGCGTCATATTTCTGTCCTTCACATCCACTCGGTTGATAAAAGATGGATCTTGGTCTTCTGAATCAAGTTGTTCATCGCGATAGCTGAGCACATACTGACTACTGTTGGCTCTGTGCCACTCCAAAACCTTGACTGGAATATTTTTAGGATTTCTGCAAGGGAGAATGACAGTCTCTCCAGGTTCAGCTGCGACATTTTCCTGTACTGAAGGAGCAGAATCATCCCCCACCTTCAGCTGATCCATTTCAGGGTCATTGGTTGTGCTGGAACCTGTCACAGCTTTCAAAGGACAACGGTTTCAATACTTTGAATAATGCCAAACGTACAACAAATGCACTTGATAAATAGCAAAGAGAGATAAAAGCATATCCTTTTAACACTAGAAATGCCAACTGGGTCACTTTGACCCATTGGCTTTTTAAAAATCCTGTAACTTTTTAAATTAAAACCCCATGATCTTATATTGCACAATTTTTCCTAAAATGGGGTCATTCATCAAATACTGAATTTTGGGGTGTGTAGGATCGAAAGGAAAAAAAAATATTATGACCACTTTTACCTAGAACCAGCGAGGACGTCATTTTGACCCTATAGAAATTAATGTAAAACTACTATTGTGTGACACTCGATAGTCCAGCAACATGATTGTTTACACACATTTTACATGCAGGCTGCTATAACATGAGCAAAAGCTAGCTAAATATGATTGCAAAAATAAAATAAATGGGACTATAGGTAGATAAAAAATTAGTGACTACTGCCAGGCTGATGATAGGATTTTGAGCCTGAGCAAATCGGGGGATTACATTACCAAGTGCGTGGAGAAGCAATGTGAATGGGGAAATGTATCTGAACTGAGCAGGGAGTAGAGTGGGGAGAACTAATCTGAGAAAATAAAGGGTGAAATCCACAACTGAACAGCAAAACATGTTTCAGGCCTGAGCAAGACAGTTTAGGAGGTGATGTTGCAGAGGCAGAGCAGTGTTGATGTTGGATGACAGGCAACAGATTTTGTGACTGGGGAAAGATGAAAAACTTTGAATGTTCTAATTTCATAATAATGATTTCAAATATTCTTACATTTTTGTAGCCGGCTGTGAGGTCAATTTTAAATTGTAGGCAATCTTCTTCACAGTGCCTCATTTTTTTAGGGAAACTAATACAAATGTGTAATTCTAATGTGGCAGTTTTTGTCTGTTATTCTAATGTGTATTTTAACTTCATAATCTGTGCTGACATTACCTAAATTATTATTTAAAATAATAAAACCCTTCACAAATAATCTCAATTAAATTACTCTTAAATTCTTGATCTGTCAAATCTTATTTTTTTGGTTGAAAATTAACAACTTAACTGCTTCAAGAAATTACATCATTACCATTACTGTTGTTGTAATTATTTTCCTGTATAAATCATTGGTTGTTACAATAATAAATGTCAGTTAAATATATCATAGGAGACACAGTGATATTTGAGAAGTGAAATGAAGTTTATTGGATTTACAGAAAGTGTGCAATATTTGTTTAAAAATCAGGCAGGTGCATAAATTTGGGCACTGTTGCCATTTTATT